TTGAATTTCCGTCATGTTCAGCATTTGAAATAGGAAGTGCGGCATCTCGAGTGCAAGAATATTTCGATTACCAATTATAGTGATTACCGAGTTACCTATATCAACAAATGCCACGTCACATCATAAAATGAAAAACAGGGACTTCCATACAAATTTATGAAATAGAGTCACGTCTAATTATCATATCTATCTAGATTTTCTATTCGTAACTATAACATTTCAAATTATCAAAAAATCAGGATTACTCTTTTCTGTCAAGTTTTATTCAACATCAGTCAGGTCGAAATTGAAAATTCATTCGAATCGGTCACAGCAAGTTGACGAGCAGTCGTTCCTTTGGCATTTTGTGTGCTCTTTCTGAATCTGTTTAAGCTTTTCGAGAGAACTGATCACAAAGTGAACTTTTTTGACATATCAATGAAACATGAATTTTTCGTAAGTTTACCATAATACCTATGCAATCCTGAATAGTTTATATTAATTATATTATGTAATATAGTCATTACACATATATTATATTAATACGCTCTCATGAGAGTACACTTTTTTTTTCACAGGGTGTATTGAAAATCATTCCACCATGTCTTTGGCATGCTGGCATGAATACACACCTATTTAATAAGCGGTGAATTTATAACACTAACTTATATTGATTATTGTATTAACGCTTATTGAATAAATTTATTATTATTATTATTATTATTATTATTATTATTATTAGTTTCAATAAAGAAACGTAGCTGCTAAATTTTTGCCTATTACGATTGATCGTTTCTGAAATATCGGCCATCAAAGTAATATGGCAATTTCACATAATAACATGTACTTTCGTTTTGGGTGACCAAAAAAATGTTTCATTTATGTACATCAAATTGTCTTGTCTTGTCTCCTCGTGAATCACCCTGTATACTGAAATATCTGAGGATATCTGAATTTCGAAAAAAACGTTGCCTCGTAGACATATTCCATAGATTTTTTTGACAAGAAAAGAAAAGAAATCACTTCCGATCTACAATCTCATTGTCATTTTTGAATTTACAAAGAATCAAATTCGGAGTTTTAGGTCAATAGTGGTATTATTTTCTTTTTACATGAATTTTGAATACCATATATGAATTTGCATGAAGCTTTCTCCAAATTATACATGAAAGAACTTCTTTCGTAACACTATAGATGCTGCTGTACACCAAACATACGCCAATCGATTTAGATTCCCTGTGCAAACTGTCCAAACTTCGGTAAGTTGGACTAACTTCCTGTAGATGGCACTACAATGATGAAATTAAAATTTTGAGCGTTGCCTATATGAAGTTCATTTCATTTTCAAAAGATGGCACGCTGATTAACTATTCGATACTGACTCTATGCAGACCAATTCCAATAGCATCCAGTATATAACTTACTCGTAAGAGGTTATTCAGGGTGTCTAAATAACACCGAAAAAATTCAAGGGGTCTTTCTTCGTGACATTCTAGTAAATAAAATTCAAATCAACATGTGTCCTAACTTGCTCCGTTTTTGAGATACAGGATGTTGAAGTTGGAAGTATTAATTGTTATTATTTATAACCCCCCTGTGGCTTTCATTAAAATTTAAATAAGAAGCTCCATATTACTATTAACAAAACCACAATGTTTTATTGGAATTGATGAAAAGACAATGATCGAGAAATTAATAGAAAAAAGATTTTTCATGGAAATATTAATATCCTGTATTTCGAAATCGAAGCAAGTTAGGACAAATGTTGTATGAATTTTATTTCCTATAACATATCACAAGGAATCACCCCTCGATTTTTTTCGGTGTTATTTGAATACACCCTGTATACTGTGGTTTCTTCACGTCCCGTGCCCTGAGAACGCGTTTACTAATTTCTACTTATATTCTAATAAGACATTATTGACTTATGACGATCGCAATTGGCACTAATAGTTAAATTTACTTCACTATATAGTTCACTCCAATATACTTTCTTAACTGGGCTGAATATGGATTTTTATGAATCCGAAACATATCCCCCTGAATAACTTACATCATTAAAAATTGTGGAGATGACTTAGAGCGTTCCATCTTCCCTTTGAAATATTTCACTCCACTTTGAGCAAACATGGACTTCTAACAGAGATTATATGAACATAAATATACAAATATTTGTGAAATAATTTCAGATTTGTCGTATTTGATCGAAGCATTTCTCTTTTCTGAAACTTTTGTTTCGAAAAAGTTAAGTTCTGGTTCCCACGAAAAGGGATATCCTATGATGTTCAGAGAACATCGCGAGAAACATCAAGGGAAATAAGGTAGGAATTGGTGTTCTTCTTGAATTTCTGGAGGTTATATGCTTCGAGGAACACCTCCCTTGGCAATGTGTTCCAGAGCCTCGCTGTTCGTTGGGTGAACGAGTCTTTGGAAAGAGATGTTCTGCAGGTCTCGAAAGTGACCACGAAGGGGCGCGAAGCCTCAACTCGACGGGTTAATCTCGCGAGGACTGCCAAGGGAGGTAGAATTGTTGATATTTCAGAAGAGCATCGTCCATGAAAATATATATAAAATAGAGTCAGATTGCCAACTTTTCTACGGTGTTCCAGAGACGTGTGAGTTTGTGAGCGAGGCATCACCCACGAGACGAATTGCCCTTTTTTGGACAGAATCCAACAGTTTCAGGGTATGTTTGGGTGCTGCACTCCAAATATGGGAACAGTATTCCAGTACAGGTCGGATCTGTGCCTTATAGATCATAAGCAGCTGACTGGAAGTGAAATAGCTCCTGGCCCGAAACAGAAAACCAAGTTTTTGGGATGCACTTTTCGCAATTGATCTTACGTGATTTTTCCAAGATAGGTTATTGCTGATAGTAATACCAAGCATCGAAAAAGAAAAAAAAATCCCAACCTATTCATTAATCAGAAAAATTCTTTCAAATTCTGAAAATTCCAGCAAATGTTGAAAAAATCCGTGCGATCTTGAAAAACCCTGTATATCTTTCGACAGTTTCATGTAGGTATATTAAAAATCACCAAAAATCTCTCAATCCTTGTTAAATCTTGCAGATATCCTTAGGAATCTGACAAATCTTGAAAATCTTGCTCTGGGAAATCCCAGGAATCTTGATGAATATATTCAGGAATCTCTCGATCTTTGATAAATCGCATAAATCCTTAGAAAATCTCTAGAAATGTGAAGAAATCTTGTATATCTTAGGGATTGCTACAAATATTATCAAAATTGCTTCGAATCTCACAATATCCAATCTGGTGTACACATTTTGTTGAAGTGAGACCACCACGTGATTCAGACACTCCTAGATTTGTTAGTTACAGTGTGTTAATAATGTCTTCATGAGTAGTTGAAGAAAAGGCGGAATTCTTATTTCCAAGGAGAATGGAAAATACGAGGCTTTATGGTATTCAATAACACCAATATGCGATTTTGTCATACTCACTGACTATAAAATGTTGATGGAATGTTTTTCAAACTATATCTTTGCAATCTTATATCATTTCGTATAGTCTGAATGGCTATAGATTTCCCGGGGTGATTCCCTTGGCATATTTTAGGAAGTAGAAGTTCCTATAAAATATATGCCTGTAGTTGCTTCGAAATTGAGATAGAGTCCGTCAACACAATTTTTGGACACATTTTCCTAATAGAAATCATGAAGGATCTGAATCGGAGGATATATTTTCTCAAATGACTAATATCAAGAATCTGCCCTCTGCGATTGTTAACAACCATAAGAATTAATATGAAAAGCTCCTTATTAGCTTGGAACATGAGAAGAGGAATTCAGTTCTCTTCATAAATAAAGTCTGAATATCTCAAAAACCGTAAGATTTTTCCTGAGGTCCAGTTGTGGTTTCTTGATAGCTTTATGATGAACTTGTTTGAAACTGAAAATACTATTTCCAAAAACTCTATCAATTAGAGAACCGTCGTAACAACAATGCAATATACATTACAAAATATGAATAAACTCAGCCACGCCGCACGCATGTTTATGGTTTGAACAAACAATTTTCGGATGATTTTCAATTTTTCAAAACTCAGTTTATTGTACATACATGACCTCATTTTGATCTGTTTTATTTTAAATGATCGAAATGCATCCTATAGATCTCAACCCTCAAACGTACCATTTTATGAATTTAACGGAAACCTCATTGGAAGAATCCTCTGCTTTCGGTACCTCCTCATATTACCCATGTAGATCGTAGATCAGACATTTTCCGAAAAAAAAAAATTTTGTTCCTCACGCCTACCGCTTCTAGGTTCGTCCAATGTGTCGTGCTGTGATTTGTCCCCATGAACATAGTTAATTTTTGGTAAACATATCAAAACCAAGACATATACATACTTATGATGATTATTCGAAACTTCGATGATAATTTTACAACTCACCGACTCTTTCCCGACACGAATAACAAATAATTTTTACTAATTCACTGCCATACCATACCCTCAACTAATTGCGAAGATTTAATATATACCTAATGTTCTGTAACAAAAAGATAAAAAGAAAAGCTTATGATGAAAAAATTGTTTCACCATAAGGGTACTCTTGCAAACACCCGCATTATACTATATAAAAGGTCCACCACAGTACTTTCTCATCACAGTGTCTTCTGAAGTGTTCGAGTGGTATGTGCAGTGCTGGATATTGAAAAATGCCATTCAACACGACAAGTAAGTTTCGAAAAATGTTCACCAAAATAATTATTGTCTTTGGAAAATATTACTTTGTGACCAAAGATACCATCTGATGTGATAAACTACTGGAAAAGGGATTAACCATCACAATATATTTGTTAACTGAGCGTACTTTGTTTTGTAATATCCATGAATGTCTATATTTACCACTATACATGTAATCATTTCGTGAACTGACTTTTCCTACATCATTTTACAATGGTCTTTTGGATGAATAAACTATTCTATCCTATTCTTTTCTATTGAACATCATACTGAATTTGTTTTTGATACGTTTTTTCCAACTTTCAGTGATGGATACTGGTGTACACCGTCAACCTAGGTTCGGTTATGTGCCACTCCTAGGTTTGCTCCTAGCCAATCTCCTCTCCAACACTGCCGTAGCAAAATATGCACCCTTAGGGGCCCTACGCCTAACATACGAACCAGTACCATACGTACAACCAGCCCACCAGTCTCACCACGTTACCGACTACTGGCATGCCGTTAACAATCCTGATGGTCCACCAAGTCCTAGTGTAGGTAGTACAGAAACGACCGAACCTCAAGTCATCCACCACCATCACCACCTACCGCCAACTGGTACTCAACAACAGATCGTCAACATCAATGAAAGGCCTACTGAGATACTCATTGGGGAGACCGAAACCGAAGGTGCTGAACAGGCTGAGACAACTCCTGTTATTTTTGAAGAACCAGCACCAGTACTACTCGATAGCAACCTAGAAAAACCTGGAATGGAACTCATTGCTGATGAGTCTCGGATGATACCAACCGAGCTATTGGCATTGATTTCTAACAACTCAGCTCTTGCTACTAAGAATATAGTCAAACGTGGTACATCGAACAGATACGTGAAGACAAGAAGGAACAACAAGTACGCCAATCAGAAGCGTAGGAGGATCCCAACCACAACACCTGAAGATTACTATGACAGCTACGAAGATGCCTCTGCTACTACCACAACAACTAGGAGATATAAACCCAAGAGGAGGACTTCAAAGCCCAAGCGACCAATCCTCGACTCCTACGAAGACAGCGAGAGCGACAGTTACAGTGACTTGAGCAGCGATGAGGACTACGAGGAATCGTACGAACTCACCACCAGGCCTCAGAAGAAGAGGAGGCGTACCACAACAACCACTACCACTACTACAGAGAGATACAACAGATACAGAAACAAGAACAAGAACAAGAAACACCAGAAGCGCCAGAAGGTCAGCAGCCTTGATGAATACGATGATGTCGAGTACGATACTGAGAGGTACGACCCAACCACCACTGAGATCATTAGAGAAACAGAGAGGCCAGTCCTGAGACAGAGACAACCAATTACGACCACGGAAGCACCCGACCAAGAAACGACCACTGTGATGACTATGCTGACTGCTGGCACCACCGAACCTTCGAACATGACTACCAACCATACGAATACCACAGGATATGGTAACTTTTCTTCTGATCTGATCGTTTTTAGAGGCTTGTTCGTTTGTGCTTACTCTACCTGCTGAACTTGATTTTTATCTATGACTTTTTCTGTTTACATCATGCCATGAAAAGAGACAACTATGGGAGAAAATCAACTTCAGCAAGTTCAGCGATACAAACAAACAGGCCAAAGGTATCCATTGAGAGTGAAGGTTACAACTATTGTTTTTCCAATATAGGCTATGGACCTTCCAATGGAAACGAAGGAATCAGTATCACCTATGGCCCTCCGACTGCGCAGGGTGGATCTCCTGGTTCATACAACCCTCCATCTTCTTCTTATGGCGCTCCGTCATACCATCCACCTAGTTCGTCTTTCGTTCCGAGCCCATCGTTCAACCCACCAAGCAGCTCTTATGGTACACCGAGCAGCTCTTATGGTACCCCAGGTAGTTCACAGGGACCTCCTAGCACTGCTTACGGAACTTCGAGCAGTTCTTATGGAGCACCTAGTCATAGTTCTTACTATCAGGTGCCGTTTTCTGATTGGTACAGCAACGAGGTCACCAGGAACAATATCGTACACAAAGTTCATGATTTGATAGGTTTTGATAAAGTCTTCAATTGATTCGTTAAGTAAAGATCATTGTTTGGACAATTATTGAAGGGTGTATGGATAGAAGAGTGAAAAATATTTTCATACAAATTGCTCTCAGTTGTGAATGTTTGCAAGGAAATTATAATATTTCATTGATGAATATCTCTTCCTGCCATATACCTTTGAATGTTTAAATATCAGAGATTGACATGTAATAGAAATTTGAAAAACACAAACCACTGTATCTGTAATGTATAACAATCGTTAAAAAGTAATCATAATTAGAGCAGGAAATGATTTTCCATTCATTTGTAGTCTAATTACCTAGTAGATTTTTTGTATAGCTATGGTGTGCGGGCGGTTATATAATTTATTGCTTTTTATAGATACCTACGAGAGTTTGTAAATAAATCGATGATAGACAAAACGTTTCACTGTTTTCTTCAATTTTCTAAATAAGAATTGACAGAAAGAATTGCATTTGATGGTTGCCAGCTATTTATTCGTGCCAAGAATAAATATAACAATAATTAATATGAAACATTGAAATATTAAAACCCTGATATTTATTGACAAATTAGAAAGAACATATTTGAACAATTAGAACAAGCGCATTTTCAAAATTTCTACACAAATACACATCCAGGTTCACGGAATTCCATTAATTTCGAAAACATATATTAGCCATATTCATTGCATGACAATGTAAAAAAATATATTACCCTTGCGAATGTACAGGAAATAAGGATGAAGCGATAAGAGATAGCATGAGATTGTGTAGTGAAATACTGAATTCGACCTTCGTATACAAGGTTCATAATGTCACTCTCTATCTATATTTTCCATCTAATATCCAAGCACGAAATGATGTTTGAGCGCCAGAGCAGAATATTGTCAATTGCCAATGCCGCTTTATGCTCTGTTTTACATATTATTTCATTTCACAATTGGTATAGTTATAGCTACCGCCTTTTCGTCGTAGAAGACGATCACACAAACATTACCAACAAATTATTCGTGTTTCGATTATTCACATTGGATTGAGCAAACTCTGATTTTTGATGTTGTTGTTGTTGTGAAATTGTTTTATCCGTCGTTCGGTTTCCCCCTTACGACTTACGAGCAACCCTCAGAAGTCTTCGAGAGTCTTGTACGAGCAAGGAATGACGGGGGCCTTACCTTTTAACGTGTGATCCCAAACACTTTCTTGGGCCCCCTGACTGTCACAATCTGATATATCAAATACCAGTTCAAGATGAATTATTTAATTCTCGTTTTGTTTGAGACAAATTGTCTGCACCTATGTAGTACCAAGATCATAAACTATTGGTATAGCTATAGCTACTGCCTTTTCGTCGTAGAAGACGATCAAACCAACATTACCAACAAATTATTCGTGTTTCGATTCTTCAAATTGGATTGAACGAACTCTGATTTCACTCTCACAACCTGATATATCAAATACCAGTTCAAGATGAATTATTTAATTCTCGTTTTGTTTGAGACAAATTTTCTAGTACTATGTAGTACCAAGATCATATTATTATAGTGTGCCTTCATCTTTGAGCTTATTCTTTCGTAGGTGATAATATATTATTACTCGCATAAAGGGTTGGCGAGAAAACTTGATTCTCCCCTCATTTTTCAGGTTATGCGTGTCTTGTTTAATGAGGGGTTGAAACTGAATTGTTTCCTGAAGTTATAGGATATTTCCTGGCATGTTTTTATCTTTGTATAATGAAAGTACCTACGACTTGGGTATATAATCAAGTGAACTAGTAGAATTGATGGTTTATTATGCCTTCTTCAACCTCGCGTAGACTGACAACTATAATTTGTTGGTTATGATCATTTTTCAAAACTTGGGCAGTTTATTTTAGCATCACTTTGAAAAATAATAGTGAGTAGTTCCCACCAATATCCTATCGAAGATGATTTCCTTGCAAGTCACAGGGTGCTGCGAGCTGCTTACCAAAAATTTAGGACATATCGGGGAATTTGAAATTATTTTCGAAAATATGTAAATTTGATACATTGTGTTCCACTTCAATTGTATAACCATCCCCTAATCTTGGAGTATATATAGACTGAATAATTGATTTTTTCCAAAATACACTAACCAGATGATATACAGTGTGTTACAATTTGGTGCACCCCACACCTGTACCGTATTCCTAGGGTGATTCGATTATTTTTTTCATTTCATAATATACTACATACTCAAAATTATCTACTTTTTCGAGCAAAAACAAATGATCAAACACAATTTCATGGCCTACTGCGATCACAAAAACTCCAGCGAAATTAAAGAAAATGGATAGGTAATATAAGGCATTTTTTCACAAAAATTTTTGGTAATGGCTATCGATTGGGATTTGTCACAATTACTCCTATGCCAATTTTCGAATCAATTCCTCATAAGGAATGTTTTGATTTGAATAATTGTATTTTTCAAGTCACCGTTAGGGCTTCGCGAGACCAAAACCAAGACCAAGACTGATCAGTCTTGGTCTTGGTCTCAAAAAATAAATGTAGTCTTTCTTCGTCTTGGTATTGGTCTTGATTTTCAAGACCAAGACGAGTCTGGCTCAGTCTTGGTCTTGTTCTTGAGAGTCTTGGTCTTGGATCAAAATACGTCTAGAAATTTGAATCATTCCATTCAAATATTCAACAGTTTATATGCATATTATAGGTCTTTCATATTTCTCAGTCTTTAATATTGTCAATTTGTGCGTATAAAGTAAGCGACATAAATTTCTTCTTCTACCATAAGAATATATTTTTAAGAAACCTTCAATAATCATTGAATGAGACCCAAACAGCAAACAGGTCGACGGCCGACAGACCAGAAAAAAGGGTCGGAACTGACAACAACGCATTATCAAAATACGGAAAATTTCAAATTCATACCGAATAACTTTTCTATTAAATTTGTTCATATCTTCAATATAGGAGGAAGTATGGACCACTGTGACCTTACAACATACACCTATTTATTGTAAACTTTAAAACTGGAATACTGAATTTGAAAAATCCGTTTCTGACTTTGAGTGAACAAAAATTAAGAACCTACCATTTAACAAATGGATAACTGAAATAAAATGCCATTACATTTACATCTTGGTCTTGGGAAGATGTTTTAAGTCTTGGTCTTGTATATATCAAGACCAAGACAAGACCAAGACTGCACTCTTGGTCTCGTCACCGTGTATGATAATTCACTAATTTGAATGATACCAGGCATTATGGTAGTCAGGATTAGATCATATTTCTACAGAGTGGGATAAATAACGAATAGAATCACAAGAAATTTAAAATTTTCATCAAGAAATAAAAAGAAGAAGAAAACACTGAATATTACCGATCAAATAATGACACCAGAAGATTTGAAAAAGCAAAAACAGCAACAATTCCTATCAAGTTCGGATTTTTGCATTCTCGATCAAAACTCCTTCATTCTCTATACACTTTTCATACCCCCGCGAGATTAACCCAACGAGTTGAGGCTTCGCACCCCTTCGTGGTCACTTTGGAGACCTGCAGAACATTTCTTTCCAAAGACTCGTTCATCCAACGAACAGCGAAGCTCTGGAACACATTGGAATATCTTGTTACGAAATTTTTGAATCTGTGTTTACTTTTTCTCCATATTAACAAAATATAGGATGCCTCAAGAATTTTTTTTTTCAAATAATCGATGGAGCCCGTCAATCTGTATTCAGAAATATATATATCATTCATGTATATTATTATCGAATGAAATATGAATCATTTCATTTGAAGAAACTTTTTTTCTTTAGCCACCCTGTATTTTGTTGATATAAAGAAACAGTGAACATAGATTCGGGAAAATCGTGAAAAATTAAGCCTCAACTTCAGAAGATTTTATTTTCAAATTCTTATCGTGTGTGTTCAATAGTTATCATTCAATGTTCGTCGTGGCATATAGCCAGGAAAGTAGTTGTTTTCTGTTGAATGTACCGAGAAAGAATTCATATTTTCATCACATAGAGAATGCGAATTGTCAATTTATTTTTCAATCTCTTCATGTACCTTATGTATCTGAGAATATTCCTGTCCAATACTTTCATTATTTTCTTTATGAATTTTATCGATCCAGTCCTGGGACTTCGAGAAATAGAAATCATGTGAAATTGAATTATCAAATGACAGAGGTGGCTTTGAAACAATTTGCCAATCTGATGGTTTCGGCTCTTCTGATACATTCAGTCATTCATCATCAGCACATCAGGGAAAACTAATTTACCTATTTCCCTAATGATTGCTCATCATCAGTAATTATTGGCTGGAGATTGGTGCGATGGTGATTTAGTTTGTTATTTTGGGCAGTCGCAAGAGGAAGTCGAAATAATTATTGTTCTGTCGTTTGCAGCGACGGACTATACGAGTGATTCGGAGTCTATTTTCGGTGGCCCCTTGGTTATTAGATGTTATTATAGGAGCATAAACAGCTGTTGCCCGTTAATCAGTCTTGAACATATTTTATTTTCATCGCGACAAAAAACAAGTAGGTAGGTATCTATTTACGAGGTGTCACCGAATAATGAACTGAATTCATAAAATGATTATCATAAAGTACATCTATCTAATGAGTACCTATACAGAGTGTCCGGTAAACCATATGGTTCATACTCTAGCTGGTGATAAACAAGTTCATAAACTATAAGAAAACTACAACTTATACAGGGTGTTAGTGCCCCTCAGGGGCTCACGACTTGTGAGTACGGGAATGGCAATCCCGAGGTACCCTAGCCGGATACTCATTAATCTTCAACTTGTCTTTCATGGTATCCTCTTCACTCTTCAGTTTCCAATCTTTAAGCTTCATCGGCCTCCCTTGGTCACTTCTCCTCTTTTCCTTCTCCCCTAAAGCCCAACCTCACCCATAGTGCGGGGAGGACAAGCCGCGGCTGCTCGGCAGATTGAGCATTTTGGGAACATCTTTGCTGTCATCACTCAGATGGGACAGTTTTGTGGACATCTGAGTGCGAGGATGGGGCAATTTGTGA